CCCCCCCCCCCCCGACGCAAAAGGACTCGGCGGGTCCGGGTGGTTTGGCGGCGCCCTTGAGGTCCCCCCGCCCCCCTGCCAATCTGGGGAAGGACGGGCTCCTCGGCTTCCCTGGGATGGCACCCCACCCGCTGGCCACGCCCGGTGAAGAAAGAGCCCAGGTGTGACTCGCTGCATGGCGCTCCGAGGGTGAGCCGCCGGAGGGGGGGTCGGAAAAGGAACCAGCCGGCCGAAGCTCGCCCGGGCGCTTGGAGAGCGACTGCCTGCTGCCGCCCCCCGGAGGAGGGAGTCGCTGGCGACCTCCTGGACCAGAAGGCAAACCAAGATGACAGCGTGGTGACCTTCCTGCTTGGAGACCTGACCCAGGTGGGCGGCCCGGCAGGTGCTGGAGACCGTCTACCTGCCTGCCTGCCGGCCAATCGGGTTGGGCGGCTTCCGGATTCTGCGGCATGGCGGGGGAATTACCTGTGGACCTGAGGACCTGGCGGAAGGGAGAGGACCGCGGCAGTGGGGTCCCGTCTGACGGGGCTGGAGCCGTCTCTCCCGACGGCGGCGGGAGACAACCCTCAGAGGCGGAGGTCTCTTTGGGCAGCGGGGGCCCGCAGACTCTGGGACAGAAGCCCGCCGGGGAACCCGAGGGAGCCCAGGCTCCTCTGCCTTACCTGGCTCCCGGACCTCTCCTGCCAGGAGTGCGGAGCGCGGCTTCCCCCCAGGCCGGGCTGGAAGGGGAGAAGATGGCCGAGACCTGCCTGCCCCTGAGGAAGCGCCGCTATGCCGTGCAGGGGGGCAACGGGGAGGCTCAGGGGCCGCTGGCCGGCAAGGTGCCCAAGACCGAGAACGGGGAGGGGGCGATGGACGCCTGGGGGCCTCCCTGCAATGGCTATTGCCCCTCTTACGTCCCTGTCCGGTTGCCGGCTGCCTATTACCCAGGTAAGAGCCCCGTGGCTGGGATCTGTGCCCGTCTGTGCCCAGCAGGAGGGGGAGCCTCTTTGATTTTCGTGCCCGCTTCCTTCTCCGCAACTGCCCAGTGCTCCTGCCCCGGGTCGGAGCATCCCTTTGGAGACCAGGGCCTTGCTTACCCGGTCCAAGGTGCCAAGCGGACCTTTGGCCTGGCCTCTGTGCCCTGCCGTAGGAGAGGGGGAGGGGGACGATTCAGGCAGTGTAAGATTAATTGCAGAGCTAAGAAGGTGCCTGTAAAAGGGGTAGATCCCAGTGCCGGACCCCCAGAAAGAGAGAGAGAGGCAGGGTGTGAGTGGCGGAGAGCATAAGCCGTGAGCCGGGAAATCCCCCTTTCCCATCCAGAAATGCTCGAGGTAGCCTGTCGTTCCCTGCAATCGTGGGACTACCCCACAGGGCCGTTGACAACAGGGCTAAGGCGAGATGGAGATGGGTAGCCATGTCCGTCTGTCTGTAGCAGTGGGAAAGAGCAGGAGCCCAGTAGCACCTTCGAGACTGGCAAAATCGGTGGCTGGGGAGGAGCTTTTGCAAAGTGAGCCGTGGCTCATGAAAGCGCACACTCTGCCACCAGTTTTGTTTGCCTTTCGGCTGCTCCTGGGCGCTCTGGCTCTCTCCTCCTGCGACAGACAGACAAACACGGAGACCCGTCTTGAAGAAGTGAGCAGGGACTCCCCAAAGCTCCTCCCCTGCCACAGATGGTGTTAGTCTTTAAGGCGCTCCTGGCCTCTGGCTCTTTTCTTGGGCAAAGGCAGTGCCCGTGAACGGCTTTGAACACTCAAAACATGCTCCTGCAAAGGCCCGTCGCTGCTTTTATGGACCAAGCAAAGAAGTCCCCAACATTTCTGAGTCCGACCGAGTTTCTGTCCCCGACAGGAGGCCGGTTTGATTGTCGAGGGCTTGGCCCGGGGCCAGGAGGGAGGGGAGCAGCCCCCTAGCTACAGCGGGGCACCTCGGGGCTGGGCCCCCCGACTTCCCATCCAGCTGCTTTATTTTATTTTAATTTTTTCATGCATCATGGCTACTTCAGCCCTCAATCCCTCTCTTGTTGCTTTTAAAAAACATTTGCTCTCCTGTCGCTCCTGACACAGTGCCCCCCCCCCAACCGATGCTCCCTCTAAGCCGTGGAGTCCTGTGAGCAAAAAGTCTACTCTGTGAGCCACTGGCATTAAAGTTGTGAGGGAGCCATTTGGCGACTGCATAGATTAGTTTGCTAGTCTGGAGCCCTCCCTGAGCAAAGAGGAAAACCTGTGAGCTGGAGGCCGGAAAACTGAGCTAGCTCACACTAACTCAGCTTAGAGGGAACACTGCCCCCGACCGATGCTCCCTCTAAGCTGTGGAGTCTTGTGAGCAAAAATTCTACCTTGTGAGCTCCTGGCATTAAAGTTGTGAGCGAGCCATTTGGCTGCTGCATAAACCAGTTTGCTCTGGAGCCCTCCTTCCTGAGCGAAGGCAAAAATGTGTGAGCCAGAGGCTAAAACACTCACACTAACTCAGCTTAGAGGGAACACTGCCCCCGACTTATTAAAATGCCCCCTAAAGTTTAAAAAAAAAAAGGTTCCTGTCTACGGCCCTGGGAGGGAGGGGGCCGATTTGGACCGCCCCGAGGAGACGGCAGTCTGGGACAAATTGAGTCAGGACGAATGCCGCTTGGCACGCCCGGGCTGCCGCAGTTCACTGGAAATGCCACTTGGAAGAAGCTGGTGTGAACGGTGGAGGAGACGGGCCTCTCTTGGAACCCGTTCCTCTGAGCCAGCTGGCTGGGCCAGGCCACCCCGATCCACCAAAGGACCAGCCCTGCTTCCCTTGAAGTCCCAGCACGGATGTTTCCGAATAGTTGGCCAGCGTTTTTGAACCTCCACCCGGCATATCCGCCTTAACCGGGATGGACAACATTAGATCTCCTGGCTTAATAAAGAGTTCCATCCCAGTAGGGCAGTAGAGCTGCGGTGGCTCAAGTGGTTAAGACGCTGAACTGCAGGCTGTGGAAGGCCGGTAGTTCAGCAGTTCGAGACCCGCGTGTGCCGCATGATGGAGTGAGCTCCCGTCTCTAGTTCCGGCTCCTGCCAACCTGGCAGTTCGAAAGCAAGAAATTGCAAGTAGATAAATAGGGACCACTTCGGTGGGAAGGGAACAGCGTTCCGTGCGCCTTGGTGTTTAGTCATGCCGGCCACATGACCACGGAAACGTCTTCGGACAGCGCTGGCTCTTCGGCTTTGAAACGGAGATGAGCACCGCAACCCTAGAGTCGGATTCGACTGGCTTTCGGGCAAGGGAACCTTTACCTTTTACCCAGTAGGGCAGTGATGGCGAACCTTTTAGAGACCGCGTGCCCAAACTGCGACCCAAAACCCACTTATTGATCGCAAAGTGCCAACACGGCAATTTAACCTGAATACTGAGGTTTTAGTTTAGGAAAATCCACTCATCCATTAACTTCAGATGATCCAAACAAAGTAAGGGAAGCAATCCCAAATGCTTTCATTTACTTAAAATTATTTGGCAGAGAATTCGACACTTTAATGATGGTCTGGGCCTGGCTGGGGCGATGGCACGCGTGCCCACAGAGAGGGCTCTGAGTGCCACCTCTGGCACCCGTGCCATAGGTTCGCCACCACTGCAGTAGGCAGAGCCGTTCCCCCCCCCTCTGTTTTGCAAACTCCGCTGTTACGCTGAGAGAGACAGACTATATCTCAAGGGGCTGTTAGGAGACATCCCAAACAACGCCCCCTCTAAGCTGTGGAGTCTTGCGAGCAGGAATTCTACTTTGTGAGCTACAGGCATTCAAGTTGTGAGCGAGCGATTTGGCCGCTGCATCAGTGAGTTTGCTCTGGAGCCGTCCCTTCCTGAGCCAAGACCAAAGTGCACCAGCCGGGGGCTAAGAAACTGTGAGCTGGCTCACACTAACTCAGCTTAGAGGGAACGCCGAGGTTCCCAAATCGCCCTCGCAAATGTTCGTGAAATATGCTGTTTTTCTGGCTGCTTCATCTTGGTGGGATGCAGAAGAACGCTGAGCGACTGGCTGGTGATCCCCAGTCCTAGGGAGGTCCGGCTGTCCTCAATGAGAGCTGGGGCCTTTTCGGTCGTGGCCCCGACCCGGTGGAACTCTGCCGAACGACATCAGGGACCTGCGGGATCTGATACAGTTCCATAGGGCCTGTAAGGCCGAGATGTCCCGCCAGGCTTTTAGTCGAGGGCAGCGACGGTTAAGACCGGCACCCTCCTTCTCTTCCTACGCCCCTCCCGCATCCCCTTCCCCGCCCTGCAGCCCAGACAGCACTGCAGGTGGCAGAAGGGTTTGGTAGTGCCATCTGGACTGGTGGATTTATTAGTGCATTGTGATCATTTCATTTATGCTGATTATATGAGAACATAAGGGAAGCCAGTGTTGGACCAGGCCAATGGCCCATCCAGTCCAACATTCTGTCACACAGTGGCCAAAAATACCAGGGGCCATCAGGAGGTCCAGCAGTGGGGCCAGGACACTAGAAGCCCTCCCACTGTTGCCCCCCCAAGCACCAAGAATACAGAGCATCCCTTGCCCCAGACCGAGAGTTCCTATCTAGACCTGGTGGGTAATAGCCACTGATGGACCTCTGCTCCATTTGTTGTTGTTCAGTCGCACAGTTGAGTCCGACTCTTCGCGACCCCATGTACCAGATCACGTCAGTCCTTCCTGTCTTCCGCCGTCCTCTGAAGTTTGCTCAACTTCATGTTCGTTGCATCTATGACACTGTCTAACCATCTCATCCTTTGCCGTCCCCGTCGTCTTTGGCCTTCAATCTTTCCGAGCATCAGGGTCTTCTCCAGTGAGTGCTCCCTTCTCATTGGGTGGCCAAAGTATTTGAGCTTCAGTTTCATTATCTGGCCTTCCAGGGAACAGGGTTGATTTCTTTTAGGATTGACTGATTTGATCTCCTTGCAGTCCAAGGGACTCTCAAGAGTCTTCTCCAGCACCATAGTTCAAAAGAATCTATTCTTCGGCGCTCGGCCTTCCTTATAGTCTATGCTCCATACGTTCATCCAATTCCCTCTAATATTTTATCTGTTTTTAAGGCGGTGAATCGCCCGGAGCCCGCTTGCGGGGGTTTGGCGATTCATAAATTTAATAAATAATCAGTCGTAATAATTCAGGAAGCGGCCTTTCAACTTTGCCTGAGATTCCTTTGAATTGATCTGTTTTCCCAGTCCAGTTACCTTTATTGGCATGTAACCCTTGCAAACCCATATACAAAAAACCCCACTAACAACAACAACCACAGCATAGAATAATACTTGCAAAATACAGAAACAATTGAGCCAAAATAAAATTTAGAAATTTCAGTCGTAGTGCATGGTAGAAGGGGCGCTGCAACAAGACATGTTTTTACTCCATAGGAAAGTGGGGGTCACATTCAGAAGGATCCTCTCTCTCCTGGGGGGTCCCCCCTCTTAGCACTTGGGGGGGAACCCTTTATTGCCAGACCCCCTCAGCTGGGAGGCGAATGAGCGGGTGTGGGGGGGAGGGTCTTTGGGCACTGCCTGAACCTGTCCCCTTGCTTTCTACGCTCAGGTCTGCCTGCTTCCTTCCTCACCCCCGAGATGACTCCTGTGCTGCACCCCATGGCCCACCACCACTTGTTGGGGGTCCCCACGCCTTATTCCTTGCTGTACCCGCTACAGACGCAACTTGCCCTGGACATCGCCACGGCGACCAAGCAAGATGAAGACGGAGACACGTAAGGGGGTGCTTCTCGGGGGTGTGTGTGCCTTGGGAGAGGGGAAAGCTAGGAACTCAACTCTATGGTCCTGGACGAGAGCTGTTTAACCGGGCTGGGGAATATGCTGGGGAGAGTGGATTTGTCTGTGCTAGTCAACAGGTCGTCTTTACATGCTCAGAGGCAGGGCTGTTTTTGGGCAGGAACGCACAGGAACGGCGTTCCGGCTGGCTCCCAAGGTGGCCACGCCCAGCAGGAACTCATTAGCATAATAGGCCACACCCAACAGCAGAAAGACAATAGGAGTGGCCCAACATGCGTGGCCCAACATGCAAAGGAGTTCCTGCTACAAAAAAAGGCCCTTGGTCTTGACAACAAACAAGGTAAACAAAATAAGAAGCAGAAGGTGGGTGTGGCTGGATAACCGCACTTCTGGTAACATGGGGGTGCGGCCTAATGTGCTAATGAGCTGTGCCGTCGGGGTGTGGCCTAATATGCTAATGAGTTTCTGCTGTTGGGTGTGGCCTGTTATGCTAATGAGTTCCTGCTGGGCTTTTTCTACAAAGCAAGCCCTGCTCAGAGGCATTCGTTCTTGCTGGGAAAAGTACAGAGGAGGGTAAGCAAGATGAGGGGGTTGGGGCCCCTTCCTTCGGAGGAGAGGCTGAAGAGACCGGGGCTTTTCCGTTCAGAAAACAGATGACTGAGGGGGGACATGATAGATTTTTTTTATAAAATTAGGACTGGGGTGGAGAGAGTTGACCAAGAGAACTTTTTCTCCCTCTCCCAAAAAGCTAGAACTCGCGGGCGTCCCGTGAAGCTGACGGGCAGTAGGTTCAGGACGGACAAAAGGAAATAACTTTACAGAGAGTGGTTCAAATGGGGCATTTGCTGCCAGAGGCTGTCATGATGGCCACAGGAAGAAACAGGTTTAGAAGGGGACTCGACTGATTCATGTAGGATACATCTGTCAGTGGCTACTGGGCATGGTGGCGGAGGAGAACCTCCACATTCAGAGGCACTAGTCCTCTGAAGCCCAGAGCCAGGACTCAGGCCTCAGTCTCTGTCTTGCTGTTGGTCCTCCAGAGGAACTGGTTGGCCACTGTGTGAGACAGGATGCTGGACTAGAGGGACCACTGGTCTAATCCAGCAGGGCTCTTCTGAGGTTCTTGTGAAGGCCTCGACCTCTAGATCCTGTTGTTGGTCCTCCAGAGGGACTGGTTGGCTGCTGTGTGTGATGGGATGCTGGACTAGATGGACCAGTGGTCTGATCCAGCAGGGCTTTTCTGAGGTTCTTATGAAGGCCTCGGCCTCTCTGCCCTGTTGTGGACCCTCCAGAGGGACTGGTTGGCTGCTATGTGAGATGGGAGGCTGGACTAGGTGGGTTATTGGTCTGATCTAGCAGGGCTCTTCTGATGTTCTTATGAAGGCCTCGGCCTCTGTGCCCTGTGGTTGGCCCTCCAGAGGAACTGGTTGGCTGCTGTGTGAGGCGGGAAGCTAGACTAGATGGGCTATTGGCCTGATCCAGCAGGGCTCTTCTTCCATTCTTCTGTATTCAAGGGCCACATCCCTTGGCGTTGGAGGTAAGGTTGGAAATTGTAACATAGACCGATGTTCTGTGCCAACAGCATTGCGTTGGGTTCAACATGTTCCGTGGGTAGCAAATATTCTACTCTCTTGTCAGTTAAGCTCTGAATATGCCTGGAACTTATAGACTTAAACTTTTTACCATGGGTTTGTCTGTTTTATTTAGCGCATTTTGATTCTCCAAGTTGCTCAGGGCTGCTGACCTTGTCCCTTTTATCCTCACAAAACAGCCCTGTGGTGTAGTCTTAGGCTGAGACCGCCCGGCCCGGCGAGTTTTGTGGGAAATGGGGATTTGAACCTAGGTCTTGCCAGAAACTCTGTAACACGCTGGCCCTCTTGTACCACAATAATAATAATAATAATAATAA